GCAGGGAGGCATTCATTGAAGTTTCTCTCTGTTGAAAAGTGTGCACGCTGTCATGGACAAAATGGTGGAGGGCATTCCCAGAGAACCCCCCCAGCCGGTGCTGACAAAGGCTGGCTGTTTATGGGACCCAAATGTCTGTGGGGATCTGAACATCCCCAAATGTGGCTGAGCAACAGGGGATGATGTCACAGCACTGACTGTCCAGTAAAACGTGACACTCTGGAGTCAAGGACAACATATGGCCCTGGGTTTGTGTTGAAACCAGTTAAAGCGTGAGCATGAACCTGAGCTCCAGAGAGATCCCCTTTGGCCTCAGTGTCATTAGACTTCAGCCAAAATATCACTTCCGATCCCTGAGAAAAGCAGCTTCTCTGGCTGCCTGCACTGTAGTGTCACTGCTTTTGGAGGAGGTGGTCAATCAAAATGTGGGGCATGCAGAGTGTTTGCTTCCAAGAGGGGAAACAGAAAGGACCTTGATGTTATTTTACATCTTAAACAAGAGGATGCACCAGTTCCTGGACACTGCATCGAGCAAGATGTCCAGCCACTTTCTGTTCCCAAAGCCTCTTCCAGCCAGCCCCCGCCCCAAAGTACTCTATCTGACATTGTCACTGGGTTTATTTAAGATGGATTTGGCTTTTTGCTATTTTTCTGTGCTTATAATCCTTTTAATTCCACCGTTTCTCTTTTATGACCTTCGCTCAGTCTTTTCTGTCCCTCTTTTACATGATACTCAGCCAAGTCTGTCTCGTTGCTGTCATTTTTAGTGTGAATTCATATCTGCCTTTTTAGGGGGTAGTGGTACTGGTGACGTATACTTGTGGTTAAAGCAAAAGCCACTACTGAGTTGCACAAAATAGGATGAATGCTGTATAAAAGCCTTCAGAGAGCTGTGAAATCTCCATCCTCTCTTCCTTGTTCTCCTGGGAACACTTGCACAAAGAGTATTTTTAATGTGAAGCAAAAAGGATTCTGATGAATACTCATTAACATTTTGTTTCTGCGAAGATACATACATGATCATCACAAGGCTGTGAGGGACATGAATTCAGGAAAGCTCTTAGATGTACACTTATTGCTGTGTGTATGCTTAAATCTTCCTGATGGCTGCTGCTTTGCTGAATAGACATATTAACCAAAGACAAAAACAGGTATTTAATGGAGCTTGTGTGTCCTGCCCTGGCCAGAGGCAGTGTGCTATGATAAAGGTTTTCAAACTCACTCCATGTGGTGCTCTGTGAATCCTCCCAGAATGGAATGGGTTGGTTGAAATACACGCCTGCAAATAATTTGTATCGTAGTTGTTAACAACAAACAACGAGAGCAGAATTTTACCAGAGATTGCAAGGGGAAGCAACATCAGAGCCACCAGATACATTCCATAACATGTTTTTCTCATGTGAGTTTGTACCCAGCCTGGATAGATATCACTGGGTGATGGTACCACTTCACCCTTGCCACTTTGGAACCATCAGTCTCAGAAATGCAGATCTGAGATGGACTGCATCAGGTGTGGACCGCATCACCTATTCTGAGCTGGTTAAAAAAAAAGCCTTGGTCAGGAGGAGTTAGCTTAGCATTGAGTCTCAACTGAAAACCTTCTGTGAGAGGCAGGAGAAGCGTGTCTGTCTGTGCCCCTTCCTGCAGATACACCACTGGTAACGTGCTTCTGTTGTTCTGAATGCCTGGAGTGCTGGTCCCTCGGTTAGATCAGATTGAGGAGCTCCATTTGCACAAAAGGGAAACAGTCCTGGTGGGACCAGCTATGCAGCAGAGGTAACCAGACGTGACTGGAGTTTCTGGGCTTTGCTGGAGTTCTCATATCTTGTCACAAGGTACTGATTTTTCATGAGGTCCTTTTTCTTCCAGTGATTGTAATCCAATCTGTGCTGTTCTTTCTGTATGAAATCTTGTAGGCTTTTTTTTTTTTTTTTTTTTTTTAGCAGCTTTTTGGATGGAATAATGAAGCTGAACAGAAACAAGAAGAAGAATATATGGTCTAGCTGTTCCTTTTGGGACCGCCCAGAAATATCCAGCAGATGAATGTGTTTTGTATGTCTGAGTGTCATTTTGATTCATTCAAATCATTTTGATTTGAAGCACACTGAAGCCATGACACAGTGTTACCAGAGACTGGAGTTTCTTTTACCAAGTGATGGCTGGTTTGCTGAGAAGATCATTAGTTTAATATCTCTAAATACTTCCGGAGCCTCAGTGTACAATGCAACGTGGACGCAGAAGTTCAGGTGTATTTGCTGGGAAGGGAAAGCTCTGAGTTCTGGTCCTTAACTGCAGAGCCTTTTTTACACACAGAGAGAGATGAGAAGCAGGGATCTGACTCAAGGACATCCATGATGACAGTGCCTGGGTGTTACAACCAAACCAGCTCATCAGGACAGTGATTTGGCACTGGTTCTGCACTGCAGGGTGGGAGGGCAGCAGAGTCAGGTTCCTGCTACCTGGACCTAACTACTAATTCAAGCAGACTTTTGTTCCTGGAGGGCAGGTTGAGTGGCTTCACAATATGACAGCTACTTAGGAGTTGTCAATGAAAATCAGTCACCCAAGAAGACTGTTGACTTCCTTGGACAAATGGGCCCAAAGCATCCTGGTTGAATTTCAGGAGAGGATTACACCACTGGTTTACATCACCGTTTATTTTGGCCATTCTGCAACAACAAGTTACTCAGTATGTGCATGTAATTGGGGTTGTCCTTTTCTAGCTGATGGAAAGATAGCTGTGTAATTAATGGACTAGGTCATTTGTTCTAACAATAGCCCATGTTATGACAGTGATTGTTAAACAGAATTCTTCCTCAGCAGAAAAAAAAGAAAAGAAAAAAGATTTGCATTGATGTCTGTTAGCATAATAGAGCTCAGGACTTCTAAACTGCATTTGACCTTTGGTGGAGGCTAGAGATGGTAGCACCTGTTAGGAGGGAAGTAAATGAAGATGATACATCACTTCTATTTTTATGACAGTCACCATGCATTGTAAACATTCTGCTTCTTGGCTCAGCACGTCCTTGAAGTACACAGAGCTAGTCTGAAAAACACTGGCATCTGAGTGGTTAAAAACATAGCCATCATCTGATATAGGTACCATTCTTCAGCATGTAAGTAATGTGAATGTGACGTTGCACAAGTATTTAGGGCTTCATTCACCTTCATCTTATCATTTGCAGAAAGCTGTATGCTCTGATGATGTCCTGAGGAATACAAACTGGATATTATTCATATCTCAGCTGCTGATATTTACTGTCAATAAACAGACTAGTAAAATGGAAACAAATGTTTGGTTTCCAATGCTATTGCAAGTGCAGACTTCATAACGCATGACGAATACAGAGATTCATTCTGCCATTTGCCAACAGTGCATTATCAGTTTCCCAGTACACAGCACTGGCATGCAGTTGTACAGCAGTGTTAGCCTGTACCTGGGCTGATCTTTTCTTTTTCTTCTATTGGGAATTAAATTCTCATGTACTCACTTTCAACCTGATTGGAACAGCCACATTTTGCCCATTTCTCCGCTGCAGTGGAGGTGGAGCTGCTTTGCACTGCAGTGAATCGGTGCCTTTAACACCTTTATTTTGCCTCTTCAATGTTTAACTTTTTAAAACCATTTTATGAGCGCATGACAAAATTCCCTTTGCCAAAAATAAATGTCTTTCTTTTTTTTTTTTCTAATCTTACAGTGCTATTAGACCAGATCTCAAGAGTTAAAAGTTTGGTCGCAGGCAGATTCTATTTTCAGATAGCATCGTGTGGAGACTGTGTTTTCAAAAGCATTAACTCAAACCACACGAATGCACAACTGTTTTAAAATATGAGAATTCACACATGCTTTTTATTATAACACACATAAAACTCAAGTATAATACAGTAGGCTTTGGCAGTAAAACAGAGTAGTTGATATATAAGTTTTATGCCTAGTTCTTTCAATTAATGAGCCACTTTTCTTGATGAATTGAACATGAATGAGCAAAAACACAACGATCTGATTAGATACTAAATTGATGGTTTTCTGGCAATTCAAAAATTGAATGTCTAGTTTAGAGTTCACTTTTTTTTTCCCTGGGACGACTTGATAACCTTCTTTTACTATAGCCAAACCACTGCAAAGGCATTGTCAGTCTCTTCAAGTTCACTATTGTTCTCAGAAAATCACTTCCTTAAGAAAGATCCATATGTTGAGGGCCTCAGCTGTACTTTGTGAGAAACAAAATTATGGGTCAAATTCATTTGCTATGTAACTCTGATGAAGTTGGTTCAGCTGACAACAAAATATCTCCTAATGGCATTACAGCTTTGCCTTGTTTCTGCTGGCACCAAGAAGCTGTGTGAGGGCTGTAGTCAGCAGAGATGGTTGTGGGAAGTTCCTCAGGGCTGAGATTTAACGCTGAACCAGATTTGTGTTTGGAAGCTCAATTTTGCTTTTAGGAATATAAATGAGGACTATGCCAAATGGAGAGAGCACCCAGATGACCTCGTTCTGTAGACAGGGTCATTTAATGTGTTTGTGTCAAGAAGAGGAACAGGGTTTTGGTTTTTTTTTTTAATTTTAGAAGTGTTGGGAAAAGGAAGTGCAGATAAGGGCTGCCACAGGCTGGTCCAAACCTCCAGTGTCTGGCAGGGAAGGAATTAATCAGCCCCTTAGCACCCAGTGCTGCAGGTGGGAGAAGGGCTGATTTGGGCCAGCTGGGAGAGATGAGCTGGTTGCTTTGGGAGTGGGGGTTGTGTACATGACTGTGTTAGCATAAAGGCAGTGTTACTGCTTGATGGCTTTGGATGCAAGATAGGGATAGGCTGAGACACACCGTTCTTTGTGCTGTCTACTAGAGTCCTGCATTTTGTACTCCTTTGCAATTAAATGCTCCTATCTTTAAGGTGATGGTGAGGTGGCTGTGGTCCCCAGGCCCTGTGGTATTTCCTGTGGCTAGTGCTGCTGTTTCCTCTGAAGAAGGCAGGCCATTCAGCTGAGTTGATACAGCCATCCCCATGGAGCAGTAAGAGAACCTGCGTGGGATAAATTCTCACAGGGGAGGATGCTGGGTCTGATTTTCTGTTGTCTCACAACCTTCTGTAGCTGCTGGTTCAGTGCAAAAATGATGAGGAATACTGAATGAACAATTCCCACTGGGGCAGGGGAACAGCAGCACTCAGAAGAAAGCTCAGGTGGGAGTTGCAGTCCTTCCATGCAAATGGTAAGTGCTGTGGGGTACTGAAACACCAGCATTTTGGTGTCGTTTGTATGAGGCAAAGTTGGCTAAGATGGTGAATCATTCAGAATGGGAGGAGCAGCTGCTGTAAGAGGTGATTGGAAAATGCAGAGTGTTTTGTGTTTGCCTGGCTGTGGGAGTATCAAGTTCTTGGGGCTGCTAGAAAGGACAGGGTGCATAGGGCAGCACAGGGTGTTTTAGTGTGTGCAGCTGTGTCCTGGCCCGCATCAGAGAGGTTGGAAAGGAAGAGGGAGAAAATAAGTGGTGAAGCTGAAGAAGGAAGTGACATTGGTGCAATGGTGAGCTGGTGTGTGTGGGCTGCAGGCACATCCCAGGTGGACTGCAAGAAGGGAAAGGAGATGTGGCGTGCAAAAAAAACCCCAACGAACATAAAAAAGTAGCAAGCGAGGTCAGCTCTTGAAATGGGCCTGCTGGAGCTGGGAGTCCTGTCCTAGGAATCCTTTACATCCAGAATCCAACATGGTATTCCCAGACCTCTGTCTGGTTCCTTTTTTTCCTCCCCAGTGTTTTCCCCCTCCCCCTCCTCCTCCTTTGTCAGGCAACTCGTTAACACTTATTAGCAAGCATCTTCAAAAGGCCGGGAGGGGGGAGGAAGGGATGGGAGGGGAGCTGAGATGGCTAAAGGAAATGATTAGGAGATTCCTTTTCCTTTCTGCCTATTCAAGCTTTAATGACCAGCCCCTGCTCTGTCTGTGCCCTGCATTGTTACCCAGCCCTACCCAGGGTCGCTGCACCCTTGCTACCCCTGCACTGATCTGCTCTGACATCTGGGACACTGCGAGTGCTCGCAGCATCTAACCTTTCTGATGCTGGGCAGGCTCGTTGGTTCTTAGCTTTGCTGCTGCACTTGGCGTTGGTGCCAGTGCTGTGTCAGCACTGCCGTGCTTCTCTGAGTTTATCTTTGTTTTGGGGGCATCAGTGCCAAACTGCCTTGCTTGGTCTGCCCCTTGCAGGCCTGAGATCATGCCTGGAGACTGATCTCTGTTTACATCTAAACATGGTTAGTAAATCTCGGGAATCCAGCATCAATTACCAAGAATCTACTAGGCAGCAAGTGGGTTGTTTTTGTGGCTGGGATTTTGCTTGCTTGAGGTGAAGGAAGGATGAGTACAGGAGAAAGGAGTTGGCTCAAAGCTTTCTATTTTTGCCTTGCAGCTCCAGAGGCTTCAGTTGCAATGCATGTGCTGTGATTTCCACTTCAGCTAGTTATCTAGAGCTGAGCACTAATCCCATTGGAGCTGATGGCAGAGTTCCCATTGGCACTGAGAGGGGCAGGCTGGATCAGTGGAATCCATTCTTTTGTGGAATGTGGGTTGTACTTGTTTTGTTCTGTCCACCAGACTGGTTTTCTTCACCTTGTCCAAGCCATGGCACCAAAATTATATATCATGATCTATTTTCTATGCGTTAGTGAAACCCTGCAGGATTTTCCTGTCAAAAGACTCCTGGTCTTTTGGCCATGACTTGGTCATGACAATCCTAGGAATGGATGCTTAGAGCTTTGATGTGAGAAGAGCTTTGAGTATCTATGTGGGTTCTGGGCAAGAGCTAATAGGTCTAGGCAGCTTCCTGGAGACAGATCTGGCCCTAAAAAGCAGACCTGGCTGATCTCAGCACCTTTGGCTGAGTCTGTGCTCTCATGGTTCGGTGCAGCAGAGCTCAACTTGCCCAGGTAGTTCAGTGACCTTCATGTCAGCATTAAAGATGAGCACCGATCTGTAGAGAAGGAGAAGATGGAGCTGGCGGGTTAGCTTCATCTGGATTTCAGTTTATAGCATGATCCTTGGATAATATAGAGGAAAATCAGGCTGAAGAGACAGTGGTGGCTGGCTGGAGCACTCCTCCCCATACCCAGACTGTGCTGCGCCTGCTCAGTGCTGAGTGCCGTCTCTCAGAGTAGTTCATTTTAGGTTCCTTCTTTCAACAGCTTGTTATTGCACTGTCTGCTGAGGGTGGGAGAGAGCCTCCTTTCTGTCACTAACAGAGGCTTTAATCTGGAAAAAAAAAAAGTGCATTTTGAGATTTATACTGGAAAATTGGAACTATACATGGGGAAAAAAAACACAGGAGTACTGGTCAGCTGGAAAAAAATACAGACAAATATTATTTCATAGTGTTTTCTTTTTTTTTTTTTTTTCAGAGTTTAATTTCTTTATCTATTACTTCTTCCATGCAGCATTTTGGAAAGAATTTGGCAAATGTATGAAAGCAATCTGTAGGGTACTTTGTAGTCAGATGCCATAACCTAGATTAACTTGTCTGCTTGTACAGAAATAGCCAGTAAAGAAATACACTGATTTATGTGTCAGCTTCAAACTTGTTTGGGGGAACTGCTATAACTGTAGGATACAAAAGATATTTAGGACAGACAGTACAAAAGTTTCTTAGCTTCTTTGTGTGAAAAGAGGGGTGAATTTCAATTATGTATTTTATTAACGCAGCCTTTTTAGCTCTATAAAATGGTAACAATGTTAAAATCCCCTCCTGGGAAATAATGGCACATATGCCATAGAGAGAGCACTTGAGGATGTTACGAACTGCTGGTGGAATTAACCAGTTGTTAATCAGCTCCTCGTTTGCAGCTGAATGCTGCTCCAGCCTAAACTGAAGATGATCAGATGATAACTTTGAATCACAGGATTGAGTTGGAAGGGAACCCAAAAAGGTCTTCTAGTCCAACTCCTCTGTAATAGGGAAGGTCATCTAGCCCAACTTGCAAGCAGTTTTGTTGTGAGCTTGGTGTCTAACAAGATGTGCAAGGAATTATTGTGATTAAAAACAGGGCAACTCGAATTAAGCTTTCATTTACAGGTGAATCAACAGTGGGTTGGTGCTGCAGTGGTTACGTGGGCCTGAGTGAGCAGCACTGGCTGATGTGGAGCACTGGTGGCTCTTGCCATGGGTTGAGACAGTAACCACAGAGGCACCACACGGACTCCTGAGTGTCAGTGTTTCTGTGATGCACTGCATAGGATACCCAGGAGATATTCAGAGCACCAGAGCCTGCCAGAATGATCCTGCAGGGCTCCTGATAGGACAGAGCTTAAGAACTGAATGCAGTGACCCATAAGGTATGAACTCTGCGTGGTGACTGCACTACCTTGCTGTCTTCCAGTAAGTGCTTGTTTTCCTCCAGTAGTAGAGAAAGTGTTTTGGTAATATAATCCCAATGAATGAAGGGGCTTTCTTAATTAAAGTAATAATCTGAAAGTTGTCATTGGTAAGTGTGTAAACAAGCTGATTGCAGTGGGTGCATGAATAGCTCTAATGAGCATGTGTGGGTATTAAATTAACCATGGTTCACAAACCATGCGTGGCTGTACCATTATTTAGCAATAACCACTTTCTCTGGTGCTTGACTATGCCCTCTACCCCAAAATCTTTGTCTTTTCCATAGCATTGCACAGCAGAAAGGAACCTGCATCTCTCACAATGTTGGGATTTAAACAATTATTACTCCTAAGGCAGCTGGGAAGGAACCATGTGATATTGGCATTTTTCACTTGAAGTGTTGCCCAGTGGGTTGAGCACAGGTGTTCAGCATCAACCTGTGCTTCCTGATGGGTTGTCCCAGGGCTTTTGGAGGTGGCAGTTCACTGCTGGGTGTGATGGAGAGGAGTATTGGTGCAATGGCAGAATAATGGCTGTTGCAAGACTGTGGTACCATTAACGAGCTCCTTGGAGGAAAACCCTACAGAAGTGCAAATCATCTTACTTGCTATTAATTACTGGTGTATTTATTCATTGCAATATGCAGGGCAGATATAGCAGGTTATCAACTCAGCTGATCTGCAAGAGGGTGGATATACAAGAGCTTCTTGTGATGGTCACAAGAAGGAGTTTCTAGACTTGTAGCTCTGATTTGATACATGCTGATAGGGACGTGGAGGAATTTTGCTTCTCCAGATCCAGAAACATCTCCTTGGTTTGATTAAAAGGGACTTTTGTGTGTACCTTCCATCTTTTGGAATTGAAACAGACTTTGAGTGCTAAATTTATTCTGGCTGGCTTTCCTGGGTGATTTTTGTCTACAGCCTAAAATGGCAAAGAAGAGTACAACTGCAGGGTGCAGATTGGCTTCCAGAGATCAAAGTACAACTTCTTCCCTGATCCAGAGGAGCTCAGTTATGTGCTGCTGTGTACTGGAGGCTATTGAACCCGACCTCCCATTTTGGAAGCAACTTGCCCTCCTCTGCTGTCATTTTAGATCATCATATTATGAAGTGGAGATTCTGCCTCCTGCTAACTATTGTTTTGCTACAAATAGCCTCCTTCCTTTGGATATCTGAGATCTGGCAGAGAATGAAGGAGAGGAGATACTGAATCCATGATGCCACCAAAGACAACAGCTGGCTGGCCACTGTTTAAAGAAACAGTGCCTTGCATCATGAAACTGAAGGTAAATCCTATTTATTGCATGGGCTCCTGTCTCCAGCTTCTGACTACTAGGCCGTTAACCAAACCAAAAATCTTCAGATTTTGGTAATGACTTTTGAGAAAACTGCTATGGCTGTTTTCTACATATTCAAACACCTATCATGGGTATTTTATTCTTTTGGGTCGGTGTGGTCATCAAACTGACAGATGGACAACTGAGGTAACCCTGGCTCTGAGCATCTTTGTGTTTACAAAGTCCTCACCTTTTCAGATGTGAAAAGTAACAGAAGAGGTTTATGAGGGGCTGTTTTCTTCTGATGCAGGCCCCAATAGTAGCCCTTGCTCTTTTATCAGGCAGGTATTGGGTCCCGATCCCCTGGAATAGCTGCTATGGCATTGCTGGAGGTCTATAATGTTGCTGGAGGTCCTGTTATGGTGTGGATCCCACTCTTCCTGAGAAGCCTGGTGCTAAGTAACAATTTCATGAATAAGAAGAAACACAAAACACCAAAGCAAGCAAACAACAAAGCAAGTAAGGATGTTTTAGTACAGCACAAGTGCTGTGCATACATCTGAGTGAAAATTGGTAGTCCACGGTGGAATTTCTACACTGGTGTGAGATCTGTCTGGATCACTTCCCTTTCCTGACACAGGAAAGGCAACATTGCCCTGCTGGTTGTGAAGCGCTCTCCTGGCAGCCCCGTGCCTGTTCAATTTGCACGTGGCCAAACTAGGTGTAGGAAAAGAGGTATGTGCTAAGCTGGCTGCCTGCTGCCCTACTCTGAGGACAAGGTCTGGGTGTGCTGGAATTGTGGGGAATTGCAATTTTCAAGTATATCTGTGAAGCAGACCAAGGCATGCTGAAGATTCCAAGTTTCAAGGTTTAGTAGTTGCTGCCATTTCACACTGCTACCAAAGTCTGTGTATATGTCATATAATTAACACCAGAAATTCTGACTCCTGAGGCTATAGGGTTAAACAAGTGTGTCCCCATTAAACTTGAATAATAAGAGGTTAACTCATTAGGAAAAGAACACTCCTGATGTGCTTAATGGAGGGAGAGAGCATTAACTCTTACGGTTCCTTACAAATCCTTGTGTTAGTTTAACTTCCCTTTAAATGTTAATTTTTCTTCTATAGAATACTTTATGAAACTCTCCAAATGATCTCATGTGTTCTGTATGAATCCTCTTTTGATTTCCTTGTTATTGACATGCTTGACTCCTCTGGAGTCTTTAAAAATACGTCCTGCTGTGCTGATGGCTGGTTGCATACTTATAAATAATACGCAATGCAGAACTTCTACAGAACAAAGGCAAATCCTGAAAACAGCTCATTTGAATGTCCAGTAGCAACAAGTCGCATGTCTGTGTCTTTCCTGGTTTATCCTTGGAGGGAAAAAAATAATAATAATAGGAGGGGAGACCTGAAGGTCCTAAGTCACAAGCAATTGGCCTGCAAAGTAATATTTTTCATCAACGAGTTTTCAATTGTAAAAGCACAGACGAGTCATTTTGAAGATATTGTATTTGCAGTTCCAAAAGTAGTTAGGTTTCCAAGGGGTACACCTAGCTCATAAACCTCTACTTGCTGTTATGGGTCAAGGACTTGCTGTCATACTCGGCTGGTTCTAGAATTCAGTGCTCACTGACTCTCATTACTGTAAAATGGGCTTCTTGGGTCAAGCAAAAGAAATACATGCAAGTGAATACAAACAAGGCAGAAGCTTACAAACCTAAAATTAGTTCTTAGTGGTTGTGGCATTAGCAAATCCTATCCTAGTGCCTGCAGCTGCAGAATGACTTTGGAGTTCCCATAATGCAGTTGTCTGTTGAAGACAGTGCATATTCTTGCCTGAAAACATGAGTCTTGTGGAGCTGATTTCTCTCTTCACCCTGGACAGGGATGGAGGTTGGTCAGCTCCAGTTCCTTCAGCCATTTTGTCCCATTCTGAGGGTTGTTGCCCAGTGGAAGTGTTTCTGGGAAGTGAGAGATGTATCCTTCACGTCTGGGAGATTCTTTGGCAGAAATCTTCCTGTCTTCAGGAAGCTTCAAATGCTGCAGTTCTGAATGGGGTGAGTCTGTGTCCTTTAGAACTTCTGGCACTATGAAGACAATAACCCTATTGCAGGTTGTGCTACCACCGCAGAATGAGTAATTCCAACTTTGACTCCATATGATGTACGTTATATTATTAACTTGTGCAGTTTCATGTTGAAGGCCTGTGTGGGTGGGAGAAGAAGAACCCAAACTGTTCCTGACCAACTCTAGAAATGAGCTTTGCTTAAGCATCTGCTACATGTTTGAAGCAGCTTTAGCTGGGAATAGCTCTAGCTGTGAGTGAAAGTGACCAAATGTAGGCTCAGACTGTGTAATAATGTTTTTCAAGGCAGAAATAATAATTTATAATGCATGCAGCTGTGTAAGCTCTCAGCAGAATCAATTGTGGAATATTTTATTTTGTGGATCACCTGAGAATAGCCTATCTTCTCAAGGCGTGCAAGGAAGAGATACGAGAAGTCTGGTAAACGCTTCCAAGTGAGGAGGTTTCCAATAGCAAATAGTAAACCAGTGATGTCAGCCAAAGACAGGAAATCAACGGTTTGGCTCCTGCGTCCTCCATGGCTGTGCCTCTTTCCTGTATGTGGGAGTGTGCCTGGATCTGGAACTGTATAAATAATCACACACCATCATGTTCCATGTGGTGCAGTGGGTCTCGGAGTGCCTGGCTTCTGGGATGCGTAGGTGCTTAGTGTAAACACTGCTGAAGAACCTGTTTTCAGTGCTGTCCCACAGAATGAGTCTGGGATCCGAGCTGTTCCATATGCTGCAGCAGAGTAGAGGAAATAGCACCTTTTCCTTTTTTTTTTTTTTTTTTTTTTGTCACACATTCTTTTGTTGAGTTTACTGTCTGTTATACAGGCAAATGAATCTCTGCATTCTTGTCAGGTGTTTCATACAAGACTTCTGCAGCAGCAGCCAAAGCATTGAGATTATTTTTTGTCTTTATTTTTATTGGCCTGGTTTCCACTTTAACAAATTCACAGCTTGTGAACTGTTGCTGGAAGATCCGAATGTGCAAAGCATTAAGGAAGCACTAAGCACAGCCATCCTTTTAATTCGTACCCCGTCTCTGCTACTAATAGTGTGTAACATCTGACTACAGCAATGCCTAAAGCACGGGCTCCCGTGGAGCCCCGCTGTGTAGGTGCCGTGCAGGCGGGAGGGGGAATTCCTGCCTTCTGGGGTCTCAAGTGGGAACTCAATGAGAAGGGCTGGGGGAAGTTGCCATGGTGGGGAATGAGAGGAAGCGATTTGGTCACATGGAGGATCAGTGATGGAACAGGGAGCAGAATTAGGTCTCTGCTAGGTTATGTAGTTGTATTTAAGCTCATTTTCTCACAGTGCCTTGAGGCAGACTAGGTGACTTCTTGCAGTACTTTTCTGTCCCATTTTATTACGAGCCCATGGATGGAATTGTCTGCATTCGTTAATTAGCAGATTCTAGCTAAGGACAAATCTTACTGAGGCTCACTTCAGCTTGCCTGGGGGAGACTTAGTGCTAGCCATGACTTTTCCTTGTTTCCACTGACCAGTCCAGTCTCTATCAACTTGGTAGTTTTGAAAACTGTGTTCATTTCTGTTGTAGAGACAACCCCTCTGGCCATGCAAGTTTGCAGGGAGAGGCACAGAAAATAGGCTTGGATAGCGACCTACCTTTCTCTGCAGTCATGGAAATCATACCCATGAATTCATAACCTGAAAATACAAATACAGAGCTGATAGATATGACAAAAGAAATTGTGTTTCTGTTTCACGGAATGCCATGACAGAGAAACTGTGCTTTTAGTGGAGCTGCTGAGTTCTTGACATGAAAGTTCCTTTTGCAAATCCAACGCATTAGTAACAATAAACAGATCTTCCAATGGATATTGATTTAGGAGGGAAAATGAAACGGATTAGTACAAGCATTCATCTTCACTGTCAGTTTAATATCAAGATAATTTTATTTGATGGTTCAATATAATAAATTCCTCTTCCTTAATACATATTTGGGAAAAGCAGGCAATATTGTAATACAGTAATTAGCCATATTTGCCTTTACTATGTGTGAATAAGATTAATATACTAGAGTGTTCAACCTAATTGATCTATTATGTGATAGGGACTCGCAACCAGACTGCAAATTACAGTTTAACCCCCCAAAGGGCTAGACTTGTTTAGAAAATGTGCGAGTCTTTAAGAGATAAAATTAATAGAACTGGCGTTGACCTAAATATTCAGTGTTATTAATTGTATCAGTGGATTGTGGTGCTTTTATGTGCAACTAGGAAGGCAACGTGTGTAGAAAGGAGCGGCTTTATGACAGCAGTGGGAAGGGTGGCTAACAGAAAACATGACAATTATTGCAAACCAGGTTTCCTGGTTAAAAAAAGTGATTGTCACAGGCCCTTAAAATTGCTATTCCATGTGGTTGTGATTAAACAAATCATCCGTGCAGCGCGTTTGGAGCATAATGGCTCTGTGGGAAAAAAAAATGTAAATCAGGTTTTTGTATTAATGAAAACGGTTTAATATGGTTTTAATGACCCATTTTTCAGTCTTCACCAGAAAGTAATTACCAGTTAGATAGTTAGTGCTCTGGGCTTTGTTCTGGCTCTCAGAACCCCTTCAGCCTGTCACCCACGGGACTCCTGTGTGCTTTGTGGGCAGCCCTGGGCTAGTGAGCCAGTGGCCACTGGGCCCTTCCCTGCAGCTCTGCTTTGTAGGGCATGAGGACAAGTGTGTCTGTGCTTGCAGGTTCCCTGTTTGTTGCCAACTGGACTAAAGGAGATGAATTCATACTGAAACCAAAACTGGGGAGGCCTGGATGTACCTGATCAATGACTTGTCTCTGGGAGTAGGACAGGGCTATGAGGCTGAACATCTGGGCAAGGCAGCAGGGTGGGGAGCAGTACGTGGAATGTGGACAGCTCAGATCCCAAAGGAAGGTGCAGCCCAATGGTAAAAGAGACAGCTGGTAGGTTTCATTGGCTGTAACTTGCTTATCTCTAGCAGAAATGAGAGAGCAGCAGATGGCGGTCAATGGGAAAACTGGGGACTCAGGATCTGTGTGTGCCTGCCTACCACCCAACTGAGTAAACCTTCCTGGCTCCCTGCTCTTGTGCGTGGGTGCAAAGCTTGATGGTAAATGACTGAGGTCTTAGCACCTTCTTAATACTTGGAAAGGCTGCCAGCCAGTAGCATTCATTCAGAATAGGGAATTATTAGATTGCTTTTTGCTGCAGTGCTGGTGAGCACTACAGCCAGCTCGCAGCAGCCATGAGCAGATAAGGCATTGGTAGGCATCTTTTGATCGAGCAAAATAACATGTTGGATGCTCGCAGCTTGCACCTACTTAGATAGGAGCAGATATTTCATTATAGAATGTTCTTTGGTCTGGTGAAGAAAGACATAATGTAGCCCAATTCCTTGATGTAGGAATGTGTGGGCAAAAAGGTACATTTTTCACATCAGGGGTGCTCAACATTGGAATCCTTTGCTGGGGGATGTGGTGAATGTATTATCATTGGAATTTTCAATATTAAGGCAGGTGTTTCCAGCCAGAAACCTGCTGGCAGAGGCTTGGGGATGTGCTCATATACAGGTGTGAGACTGCATCCAGTGCTTGTAATGCCACTGAGAAATAAAATAGATTGATGGCAGTGAGTGAGGAGGAGATTTTGAGGGAGGGAAGGATCCTTCAGACTTTATTTATCCATTGTAAAGGAACATATAAAGGTAAACAGAAATTGATTTTTTTCTAAAATCCCTCCCAGGTCACCTGTAGGGGAAATAATGCAACACAGCTCAATGCCATGCACTGCAGATTTTGTCAAGAACATAAAGAAACCTGGCGCTTTATTTTTATTTTTGAAGTGGAAGTGGTTCACAAGGTATACCAGGGAGATGATTCAGTGCTTACAGCTGTGACATGTCAGAGTCTCGTAAGCTCAGATGACTGTCTTTATTGTGCTTTCCTTTTCATCTTCCAAACTTTGAGCCCTTGTGTTCCTATCATTTTCCCTTTTCTGATGTGAAATAAGGAGCATATTCTAAACAATGAATGGTGTTCTTTTGATACGTGCCATAATAAAGAAACACCGACTTGGAGAACAGCAGATCATAGCTGTCCACAAAGAAGCACAGAGAGGTGCTAATCCTTTTGGCATGGCACTTCAGCCGCTTCTCCTGCTGGCTGATGGAAAGCCAACAATTATTTCTTTCTTCTAACATAGCGGGGACAAAGGAGCTTCCTTTAGCAACCCATATCTGCCCTAATTTATGTTGCAACATTTTAGGGAAGGGAGCAAAAGTCATTTTAGAAGCTATTGAAGAATGTCTTCCTCTTTTATAGCTCCTGCACATTTTTGGCAAATGAAGCAGAATACATTCGTGGGGCACATCAATGGCAGCAGTCTGCAAAGGGCTCAGGAAGGGCCTAATCACCTCTTTAGTAGTGGCACAGCTGCCATGCGGGGAAGGTAGGAGGTGTGAATCTGAGGGAGAGCTGTTCTGTGGATGGGACTGCAGGGATGGGGCTGTCCTCTGCTGAAAGGGCTGGGTTAGGTAAAACTACATCCCAGTGCTTGTGGGGCCTTGGATTGTTGCTGCTGCAGTGACCTTTGGAGAATAGCACCCAGGGGAGCTGGTCATTGTGGTGCTGAGGAAGGGCTCTGTGGATTTCACCCTTGCTCATGCAGACAGGGAGCTGCGACTCATACAGGGCTCTGGTGCTCTGTCTCACCCCGGGAGCTGTGGCACGGGCCCTGTTTAGGAGTGCTTTGCAATTTGGATGACTTTTTTTTTCTTTCCTGCCTCAAACAGGATGACTTTTGCTGTGCTGCTATGTGTTGGATGAGATGGCAGCTCCCTGCTAAATGCTGTGCTGCGATGGGGGCCTTAAGATGTGTAACATGTGGAAGCAGTTCTTGTTGAAAGAAGTTTTGTGGGGATCTTTCACATGGCTGGTTGGAACACGTGGTCAGATTCATGCTGATTGACCCTGACTGGACATCAGTACTGGTGGGTGCATGGAATCCCACCAGGGATGGGAAATTCACTGTGGATAGGAAATTGGTTTACCTTTGTGTATGTGAGTGTGTGGCTCAGGATGTAGCAAGGATGTGCAGCCAACAGTCCTTATGAGGGGCTGGAGCCTAGAGGTGGCACAGCATTGCACTGAGCACACGGCAGGTGAAGAAATAGCACCAGTGTCCTGCTGGAGTGTGTTACTTCCCACTGGGTTAACCTAGAAGGCTTATTCTGATTACAACCTAATAGGACTAGGTGACAGCCAGAAGTCCCTTCCAACCCTTACATTTTTGTAATTCTGTGTGAATTGACTCAGTATGTGATTTTTGTGACTTTGTCAGAATGTCCCCTACTAGGCAGGCAAGTACTCTGGTCAAGGGCTGTGTTTTTGCTATTGAGTGGAACAGTAGTTAGTACATAATGGCTCCAACTTCTCACTGAAACTTCTTCAGGCTTTACAGAACCGTGAGCAAAAAGTAATGAGACTGACCAGGACAAAAAAGCCCCAGAAATTTTCATTTTTCTACCAGTTTGAGCTGCAGAAAGGCCTGGTGCACATAGGAGTATTTCCATGGCCAGTCGGGTGACTGGGCTTAAAGCACGTGGCTCTGCAGAATGAGATTTAAACTGCTCCACAACCTGCCAGCCAGTGCTGTGCTCGGCTCTTGAACAAACCAATTGCAGCTTTAACCAGTGTGATGCTGCAGCCACACTAAGCCAAGCATGACGTGGCTTTCTTGGGCTTGGTTGCTCCTGCTGGCAGAGCTGTGCCCATGTCACCCTGATATGTCAACTGCTCGCTTTGCTGGGACTGCCAGGTTTGGTCAAAGGCACCTGAAATGATTGAGGATGCCAATGTCTGAGGATGATGGGTAGATATTTATATTTTTAAGCTCCTCTATTGACTTCTTCCTTCCAATCACAGTCACAGTGACACTTTCTTCTCTTAAGGCTGCGTTCATCCTTTTCTTTGCCCTACTAAATTCTACTTTCTCTCTGCTAGGCTATTTCTGTCTTGTTTCCTTGTTTGATGTCCAGATGGTTGGGGCAGGCTCTGTATTCAGGAGACACCTGAGGAAACCAAGAAGCAGAGTTCCTAATTATTGGCTGGACAATACTTGATTTATCCTCTTTCCATCATTGTGATTGCTTTATCTGTTTTTAATGTCTGCTTTCTTTAAAAACAAGTGCTGGGAGAGAGTCATGCTCTGAGCTGCATCCTAGAGCTGTGCCTTCATGGGACTGCTGCACCTCATCCTTTCCTTCCTGTGGTCCTTTGCTGTGCCCTGGACTTGGCCATAGCTCAATGCTCCCGCCTGTGCCAGGGCTGTGCTCCCTTCAATATGGTTTGGAAAAAGAAAGGAGTGGATGGCTGTGGGCAGCAATGTGGAGAGCCTGGGGGGTGTCAGGGCTTGGTAAGCCCACAGGGCTTGTCTATTCTTAATAATTTGAAGATTTTTACAAATTGGCTTTCTGGAACTGGGAGATGGGCTGGGGAAATGGGGATCTCCTACAAGCGAAGCCCTGTGTCTTCCCAAGGAAGGCTGCTCAGCTGCTGCCTTAGAGGAGCTCAGGGAGTTCTGTAGCAGCTGCGTGGGAGGAGAAGAGGGATTTGTGGTTCAGCTTCTGGGAATTGAAGTGTTGAAATCTTGCCAGCCAAAAATGAGATGCCTTTAAAACTAGGGTGAAATCCAGGCCTTGCTGAAATCACTGCAATTTTATTTTGGGCTTCAGTAGCATCAAGACATCACCCCAGCTCTGCAAGGTTTCCTTGGAGTTGGAGGAGTGTCCACTGCAGTGTTTGTTGCAGAAGCTCTATAGCCTAAACTTTCATAGAAAAATAAGTGTCACAGCTGTAGTGCCAGAGCATTCCAATTTGCATGTACATATTCAGATAATGAAGGGAAAAATTAGTGGGGGGGTGGTGTTTGTAGGGTTAAACTTCCTGTACTTCTTTTTATAGTCAGGAGAGTGCACTGGGCATGGACCATTCCCTGGCTTTAGGTGTGGCTCTTCCTCTGGAGGAGAAGAATCTGTTTCATCTCCCCAGGATGGAGTGACCTGCCTGGTCTGCTGCTGCGCTGGATGGTATTATAAATACTTCTCTCACCTGCACAGGAAAATCAAATAACAATTAAAAGGAACCAAGTAGAAAGACATGAATCAATTCCATTAGAATAGCAAGCATTTGCTCAAATCTCTGTATGGGACTGGTGTGTAAGCACATATGTAAATGTATTTTTCTTTTTGCCACATATGATTTTTTTTTAATAATTAATTGGATACTTTGGTCAGGAGATGGTGCTGTAAATATATGTCTTACACACTTGTCTGAACATCCCTAGTGCTACATGATACTGAACTCAGAAAGCAGATTGCCCCAAGGATCTGTTCTGCAGTGGGATCTGCACTCTGCTGCTGTGAGAAGACGAATTATATGGTTGAGTGGCTGTCAGGAGGCTTTTGTACCTCAGATATGGTCTCCTGGCAATTTGCTATCACTTGCCCTTCCCTGTACCGTTGTTGGTTTGTCTATCCTTTGCCCCAGCCTCTCAAAGGATTTGCTCTTTGGGCAAAAAACAGGCAACTGCTGCTGAGCCTCAAACACCAAGACATTGTACCATCTACACAGTGCTATAGTAAACTCCTTTTAGCAATGTCAATTCCTCCTGACCTTAGCAGTAATATCTGACATCTTTCATGCTTAAGGCATCTTGGAACATACCCAGTAGGGAAAGTCTTCACATGCTTTTTGTCTTGCATCTGAGACCCAACTGCAGACTCTAATAGCTTTGGGCCTGGTCTGTCCACATAATGATTTCTGGAGGGTTGCTAGAGAAGTGAGCCATTGATAGGCTCTCATCATTGTTTCTACGTATAGTCTGTGCTTAAGAAATGTCTTTTTCACATATTCTTAATGGTAAATGTATATATATTCAATTTAACTTTCTGTAGAGAAAGGCACCAAAGGAAACTGCAGCTGAATGGCAATGCCTATGCTAACAGAGCACTGCCAGGACACAGGATTTCTGCTTTGTGTTCGAAGGAAGAGGTGTTAGCTTTGGGTAGAGCATCCTGCCCCCGCGTTCTTAGGTTGGTGAAGATGAACATGGTCAGGCACTGACTCTTGATGTCTCACATATAGTATTAACTGCCTTCTACATTGGCAAAGGGTTGTATCTGGCAGCCTGATGACTGGGAAGCCCATCCCCAAACATGTGGCCTTGTTGTAGTGTAGGCTGCCTTGGTTTGTGCTTTCTATGTCAGAGATCCTTTGCTCATCCATTCTGATGGAGCCTTTTTGCAAATGCATAGTTAATGACTAGAGTGGAAAATACTTTAAATTCTTTTTGATAACTTCAAAAATGTTTTCAGCAGCAGCTGAGTTGTCAGAAAATATTTACATAAGTGCATCTGTGAACCTTGCTATAATATCTTAAGATCTGCGGCAGCTTTGTCACTTCCTTACAAATAGCTGTGAGCGATCTATTATGTAAAAAGGTTCAGTTTAATTTACAGGAAGCCTTACATTTTTCTCCAAGTACCGTGTTTAGTTCTTCTATCTATCATCTTTAAACACTACGGTGACTTTTTTAAATGCTTCTCTACAGGTTTTTGAATGATGTGTAAGGAAGCCTTCTCATTTGGCTGGGGGGAGGGGAGGGGGAAAGAATTGAGCCATCCTTGTATTGTTGAGCTGCTCTCCAAGCCTCCCTTTGGCACTCCTGACCTAACACCAAGGTGATGCTGGCAGCTAGAGACAGAAAGCTGTCCCTGGGTTGAATTGGATGGAAGCAATAAAATTGCCTGAATCTTGCATCTGGCACTGTTCTGAATGCAAGTTTTAAACAGAATCTAGTCCAGTAGACCCAAACCATCCGATATCTTTA